TATAAACCAGGGGGTATAGGGAACACTACAATGCCCCAAGGGGGCAGGGCTCAACAAAGGTTAGACACTTACAATCATTGACAAAAAACAGGGTTAACAAAAAATAAAACACAAACAGCAGAACAAGCAATACTGGTTGGTGAAATATAAAAAGGCACAAAACACAAAATGTCAAATGATGAGGAATATAGGGCCAAGGTACCTGGAGGGGGGGAAAGAGGGAAAACACAATGAGCCCTTTCCACTGCAACAAGGATTTCTCCCTGTTACTTCACTCAAGCCAGCCAGGTTTTGAACTCAGATCTCCCACATGGTACAGGGAAACTTGACCAGAAAGCCACCACTGCTGCCATTGCTATAACCTGCTAGGGGTCTTGACCTCCCTGGACCCCTGGCATCACATCGAGCTGCCTGGCCTTTAATTGGAGGAGCTGGAAGCTGGGCTGGGAACCCCTCAGGTCACTGCTCAGATCCTTGCTGGAGCAGGGGATCCTGGAGGCCAGCGGGAGCCTCTCCTGCCAGCCGCATGCCAAGCTGCTGAGGGTCCCACTGCTGCCTGCACGTTCTGCTCTTTCAGGTTCTTCTGGGGCAACTGCTCCCACCCTGCTGGCCCAGCTCTTGCGAGCTCTTTCAATCTCCTTCCTTGTGGTCCCTCGCTGGTCTCTCCTGAGTCAGCCACGCTGCCCCTTTTATCCTCCTCCAAGTGACCCAAGGGGACACGGAGGGTGAGTCTCTGGGACCTGATTGGTGCGGAAAGGGAATCCCAAGTCCTCCAATCATCTTTTGCCCTTTCAAAACCCCTGGGCCAAGTCACTACCAGCTAGCCTGTCACACTGCTAAATCCTTGACCTCTCAGTTGACTGTTAAGCAAAGCAGGGGTGGCAGATTCACACCTACCAAGACCAGTTGACTACCCTAGGGTGTAATAGGTCCTCACCAGGATCTAAACCAGAGAGTGAACAATGCAGTGCCATCGTGCCTGTATTCTCTTACCACCTAGTCACCTTACTCGCCTTGGTTGCCAGCAAGCAAATACATGGCAAATGGCAGCTCAAGAGGTTCGTAAGTTGGGATATCAAGCCTGGTACATGATGATCACCAGCCTGATTCATGCAGGAGGATAAACCCAGTTGTTCATCAGGAAATAGTTTCATAGTTTCATAGTTGGTCGGGTCAGAAGGGACCTGAGCAGATCATCAAGTCTGACCCCCTGCCATGGCAGGAAAGGATACTGGGGTCAGATGACCCCAGCCAGGTGATTGTCTAGCCTCCTCTTAAAGACCCCCAGGGTAGGAGCCAGCACCACTTCTCTTGGAAGTTGGTTCCAGACCCTAGCTGCCCTGACCGTGAAGTAGCGCCTCCTGATATCTAACTTAAACCTACCTTCTGCCAGCTTGTGACCGTTATTCCTGGTCACTCCTGGCAGTGCTCGGGGGAACAGGGACTCCCCCAGTGCCTGCTGATCCCCCCTGACTAGTTTATAACAGGCCACTAGATCCCCCC